ATTTAATTTCTCGTTTTCTAAAAAAAAGGATTTAAAAGTAAAAATTTATGAAGAAAAAATTGTTCTGACTTTTGGCGGACATTGTATTAAATAACATTAACATTTAGCTTATCTTGAAACACTTTCTTCATCTGTCCATTTCTTTATTCATTCTTTTTTTGTGTCTGTGGGTAACTACCTACTAATACGTTATTAAAGTATAGTTCTTAATACGACATACAATTTGATACATTTCCAATGAGGACTTTTTTTATTGGTATATTTTAGAAGTATTGATGATACATATTAAAAATGCTAAGAAAACGTATATTTCAGAATAATAAATGTCTTGATTGTGGGAAAATTTTTAAAAACAAAATGAAATATAAACGTTACAAACAGTGGCGTAGTTAATAGTTAGTCCTGGTAGGTCAGGGCCTACCCAGATTTTCTCAACGAATAATTTTAATTATTTTTTTTTAAATATTTTATCAAGTAAAAATAGTGGTCACTAACCGATCTTATACATTAAGGAATTCATTATTAATTATTTATTTTAAAAAATGCATAGTATATTTTATATATTCATTAGCATATAATATTATATCTCTACTAATAGACAAGTTTTACTTTACATTTTATTTATTGATATTTAGTATTGAAATGTAAAACATTGTTTAATTAACGAATCTAACTTCAACTCAAAAATAATCATGTTATATTAAAATTGAATATAATAATATATTTCTTGAAATATTTTTTTGATTTAAGAGAATAAAAAACAATAAAAACTTAAAAAATACCATATGAAAAAGCTCAAGAATAGAATCATCTTTCAAAATAAATTTAATGAAAGTAATTATTTTTCTCAATTATATTTTATAATAATGGTAGAATAATATTTGTAGTAATATTAATTTTGTAAAAAAATGTTATTACACGAAAATATAATACTTTAGTTTTGATTGTGTTTTTGGTTAATTTTTTACTATTAAAAATATTTTAGAAGAATTTAAATGAATCTAAAAAGAACATTTTTCAACCTAATGCTTTAATAGTTGATACAACATTGGACAAAAAATCTCAGTGTATAGAATCTACACGAAAGATCAAATACAAAGGTTTTTTTGATCATTCTGCAAAACATAATCCAGGTTAAAGTAAAAAAGATTTAAGGAACATGTCGTTTCAATATCATTAGGGCCTCATCAGCATATTTCGACTTCATTTCCAGAAGTTACAAAAAAGGATAATTTAAAGCTAAATGAAATAATTTGTATCCTATGATTGAATATAGCATTGTAAAAAATGCAGATTACTGTTTAATTTGTTCTTTATTTGCTATTTGCTGTGGTTATAGAACAATAAAATGAGCTAAAGATGGTATTAACATTTTTAAAGAAATGGAAGGTAAGGTAGGAAAACTAGCACAACATTTTCGATCACGAATTTATCTTAATATTTAAAAATCACAAATTTTAGTAAAAACATTATAAAAATTAATTTTTCCCCATAACTTGAAGAAATATTACATTAAAATTAAAAATGTTAATTAATAATTATACTGCAATGATAAATTAAATTTGTTTTAAAATTATAAATTAGTATTTTTGCATTTGATATGAAAAAATTTTAGAATTTTCTTGGAGATTTTTCCTAATTACGTTGTTAGATACTTATTAGTGACATAGTCATATGTTCTCCGCTGGTCTCTTCAATTTATCAATAATCTAATTTACCTAATATTTAGAAATATTTTACCTGTTGAAGTTATTTTTTAACAATACAAAAGTTAATTTCAGGGGCTTGGTAGCAAAAATGGCTCGGGATGTTACTTAATTTTAGGGTCAGATAATAAAAAATATGATAAATACAGTTAGTTCATAGTGAAGGGGGTCGACCTGGCATAGTACGTAGAACGTATGTTTCGCGGGATCTCGGGTTTGATCCTAAGGGTACCAACCAGACTTTTTTTGTAATTTTCTCATTAGTGGTACCTGGTCCAGATGCAAGCCAACCATAAAATCTGTCCCGTTCATCATTAACCTGACCAAGAACCATCTTTGACACCTTAACATGCTATAGAGGTTGGTGGCCCTTTGTAGCATGTTAAGTTCAGGAAGTAGAATGATGTAACACTGATAATTTATTTTACAGTTAGGTCATAGTACTTATAAATATTTGTTTTTTGCTAATGATCTCCATTTATATTTGTCTATTCATACTCCTAATAATATTAGCTTAGATATGAAGCTGAGAAGAAGGTATTAGTTTAACTATGATGTGTTTTTCTTTTGTTTTTTTATTTAATTTTTTTTTGTACCAGTTACTACTTTTTCTCAGCTCTCTACGAATCTATAGAATCTAAACGCAGACATTACCCTCAAAAATTGAAAAAATTTCCTTCGTTCCCTGTAAATCTCCAAAAAAAAATACAAATATAAAAATCGTTAATTTTCGACATTTTTCCAATTTTTTTTACTTAAAACTGCCATAACTTTTTTAAAAATGACCAAATCAATATCATTTTTTTTTAGATCCATGATGACTTTACCTTATATTTGGTATATTTCTTTTTATAAATTTGACATTTTACCTTTACCTTTACACCATCTTTCATTCGACATACCTTCTTTTAAATCGGATCATTTCCTTATATACGGGGGGTTCAAATATAAAAAATTCATATAGAAAGTAGAACTTTTTCAACTTAACTTTTGAAAGTCTTCCGGAAAGTCTAACACTTTTATATATATCTTAAATTAAAGCTAATGTAATATACTTTATCATGGAAAAAAAAATTTCGTACTTAATTTTGTCTTCACGGTGAATATTGCTACCGAATGCTATTTTTGTGTGAAAATTCTCAATTATATATTTTACATTTTTAACTTTATTATGCTATAATTTTTTGAAAAATGTATGGATCAATACAATTTTTTTATGAGAAGTAGTATTTATATACATCTTTCATTCGACATACTTTTTTTTTAAATAACACCATTTCCCTTTATATATTTATGTATTATAAATATATATATATTACACATATAAATCATAAAACTTGAATACAGGATATAAATAAGGAAATAGAAGATCATGTAGCTTTTGGAATAATCCATCAGTTTTTTAAAATTAAGCACTATCTACAGATTTGCATCAAAGCGTTTTTTATGATAGTGATTTTAATCACTGTCAGATATCATTATACTTGACCCAACTATGCCACATCCCCATTATGCCGCGACCCCACTGTGCTATGTTTTTTTTTTTTAATATAATTTGATTTGGATAATTTTTTTGTTAAGGGTCAAAATAATGGTTAAACAATTAATACTGATTAATTAAAACATTAATTTGCAATAAGTATTATTTAAATATTTTTTGGCATTTTAAAAATTTTAATATTTTTCTTTATAATAACTTATCTTTTTCTGAACACAACAGTTATTTTTAGTAAACTTTCATGTACTCTTAGCTTTCTATAGCGTAATTGTAGTGAATTTATTAGTAAAAAATGGTTTAAAACTATACATCACGTTGGTGAGGTACATTCTCTAGTATGCATCAATTAACTGGTCGCCGTATCAAATAAGATAAACAAAATTAAGTCAATTTAAAAGCATTTTTTATCATGATAGATTACAAATTAAATAACTTTGAATACTGCTAAGATAAATTGTCTGAAGATTTAATATGTCATATCTTTTTTAAAAAAGGAACGTTTATTTATGTGTGCTAAATAACAATATGGATTGTTCGGAGTTATTTGTTACCGTTTAATTTACTTAGTCATCAGCCTTTATTTTATACTTCGCTTCAAAGGCAAAATTATAGTTTTTCTATTCGATCAATAGAATGTCGAATACTTGTAATAATTTGAAATTATTGATTTTAACATGATTTGTTTGCAGGACATTACTTTTGTGTAAGGTGATTAAATACATTTTGGCACTCCCAAAATTTTTCAGAATCACTTTAAATAATATTGATAATTCACAATAAAGTCTACATTCTTTTCCAATTACATTAAGTTTTTATCGAATTATGATGATAGTTTTTTAATAAAATTAAAGGTTATACAATATTATATAAATCATAACTACTAATACTAGAATAAAATTTTTTTTTAATCAACCGTATGTTAACAATATTTGTAGATTTGTTCTATAATATTGAGATTCGCCCCTAAGAAATTATTGGAGGAATATTGCCCAAATTAACCATGCCATAAATATGACATCGTTCGTTTATAAGTTGAATGTTTATAGTTTTTAATAGTTCAATTTAATGATATTGTTACTTTAAATAATTATTTTATCATAATTATAAATTATCATTATTATTTTTTTAAATATTTTTAATTTCAATTATAAAATGTTTATATTAATTATTTAAACATACTGATTTGCTCATTTTTGGCGTAAATAATTAAATTTAAAAAAAAATAAAAGTGAACTCTGCATTGAGTTTGAAACGTCAGCATAAAACTAAACATTTGTAAATGTTCTAAATATAAATTATTTATTTCGGAGTTTCTGAGTTTTTTGAAATATTTAAAAAATAATATAATAAAATCGTTTAGTTATTTTATGCACAACTATGATGACAAGTTGAGAATTATATAATTCTAATTATATTTTTGTAATGAGTCAAATTATTTGAACATTTAATCGACAAATTTGGATAGAATAACTGCACAATTATTATATTATTCAAATTATTAAATGTTGTGCTGAATAATTTAGCAAATACATCAAAGATACTTACTATGCACTGAAAATTAAATGATTTTATACATACAATGGTAGTTTTAATAATAATTTCTATTGTTTCTTTTAACAAAATGTATTTTAAATATAATAAATTTTTAATGTAATTTTTTTGTGCATAATACATTTAACAATTTTATTTTTAATGTTTTTCTTCCATGGCTATTGAATGTCAGCTGTTTTTTCTTTTATGTATTATGGATGAACTACTACGGTCTACAACCAATACTGTATAACAAATTCCACCACTACATTAGTTGCATTTCAAGCGTTGATTTGTGTGGTGGAGTTTTGATGTGAAATATTATAGTTTGTTTAGCCCGCGCCCCGCCTGCTATATTTTTAATTTCACATCCGTTCATGCGTTTATCTCCTACCGTAATCAATTTGTTTATATATTTATTACGATATAATTTTATACTATGTTTAATAATATAAATATGTATTGAAGTGATGTGAATGTTATTGTTTTGAAAATGTGGTGGCTTTTGAGAATATTATTAATAGTTCGGTTTCATTGATAACGCTAGTGAAATAAATTATCTCACATAAATTGAATTTTATCATGTTGCTGAAACAAGACTGGGGTAGTGCGATTGCACTAGGATTAGGTCTAGCTGCAGTAGCTGGAAAATCAGGTATTTAAAATTCAACATAACAATCAAATATATTGAAATATTTCTTTTGTGATCTAGTTTAGTAGGTGACCAATTTGTGTAACTCAGAACAATAGGTTTTTAAATTAAAATAATTATAGTAACTTAGTTGTATCTTGTTGCACAGATATTAAAGTCTATCTTGCTGAACTATTAACAATCTCATGCTTTTCATAACTAAATTATTTAAGAGCTCATAAAAAAATAATTGCAAATAACTTAAATATACCCCATTTTTTAGTTCAGAACACTATTTATGCAAATGAGATAAATTAAAAAAAATAAAGATAGAGTTAACATATAACTTTTATCTATTGTGGCTGATTTTGAAATCACGTTCAGGAATGAACTTTTTTTTCAAGATAATCTATTTATCGAAGTATAATATTAGTAACAGACTATTCTGACCCCATCAATGTCTTATAGCATTTGTTACTTATAAAAAGTAGAAGCTGGTTCCTTAAGTAAATGCAGTGAACTATGTTAATCGGGACTCTATTATATATAATTATGACGAAAAAAATATATGAGAGAGGTAAAACCAAACAAAACATTCAATAAACTTAGATGCTTGAATATTATCTTTTAATGCTATCCAATATAACCCTGCCCCTTTTTAATTGTGCATAATAATGAAATAATTAATGAGATTTTACTATAATTATTATTTTATAAGATACATAAAGATTGTTAATAAATTTCTCTTTATTTAAACTAAAATGCACAAAAAAGTAATAAAAGACCCATTTGGGGTTTGTTTATCATTATATTAATAAAAAAATAAAGCAAATATTTAAATCTTGAACTATTTAAAAAAATAATTCCTTTATATAAAACTCGACTAATAAATGTTTAGTAAAAACTATTTCATAATATAAATATTGAGATAAAAGAGAGACTTTGTTATATATTAAATAATTTTTTATAATATAAATAAATGGTCTTAAAGTATTATAAAATGTAATAGTAACTACTATAGTTTTGAACTCTGTACATCTTCAAGTTACTACTAAATGATTATATATATTTATGTATAATAAAAATTGATGACTTGTGTCTATTATTATTTTAAATATTTTTAATATAATTTCAATTTTAAATAATAATAATTATTATTTTAAATGTATATATAAATTTACTAAGTTTAATAGTATAGTAACTAATATCTAACTTTTATCATTCTAGACTATTTATTTATTTTATTATCAATTTTAATTTCTACAATTTTTTTTTTAATTTTGAGGTAAAATGGTAAGTTCTGATTAATTTTAAAACACGTAGCACATTTTGTTAAACTATTAATAATATAAATTAAATTACAAAATTTGTCTGATAGAGTTTATTTATTATATTGTTACCCATAAAACTTGCTTCATGAAAGTCATAAATAGTCTCCTCCTATATAATAATCTCCAAATAAAACTCTATTTACTTGTTTAATTGTATGCATTTTTACCTTATTAAAGATGACTAATACTAAAAGTTTTGTTTTACTACCAATTTTATATTAATTACTATTTCATTGTAAGTGTAAGTTGTAACAATTTGTTGGAGATGTTCATTTCTATCTATGTCAATATAGTTTTAAGTATAAATAAATATTATTTATTTAATTTCTTAAGTTGCTAATGCTATGATATTAACACCTCAAGAAATTAAAAAAAAAAACTCTTAAGAATTAAAAAAATTTAATTTAATTATTTTAATAAATTTCAATTTACTTTTATTATTTAAATTTAATTTATAAAAATTATTCTCCTAAAAATGCATTTTTAAAGTGCCTGTCATTTTTGTGCCTATAAGTTTCAATGTTAAATTATGTATGTGTTGACACAGATGCATGGTCGTATCAATTCACAAGTCCCATGCACTTTTACAGTAGCTGAGTCTTATACTCAGGCACGTAGCCAGAAAATGTTTATTGGAGGGGCCAACAATTTTGGGCCTTTGTATCATTTTCCATAATTTGTTTACCATGAAAAGATTGTGGGGGGTCCCTCCACTCCTTCTTAGACAGTATCCCATTCTATGAATCTTACAAGTTCAAAATTTGTGTTTATTTTTCGAAAATTGGTGGATTATTCCAAAAGTTACATGATCTGCTATTTCCTTATTAATATCCTGATTAAGATAAAGTATGTCGAATGAAAAAGAGATTATTAAAAAATATTATTTCTCATAAAAAAATTGTGCTGATCCATACATTTTTCAAAAAGTTATAGCATTATAAAGTTAAAAATGTAAAATACAAAATCGAGAATTTTTACACAAAAATATCATTCGGTAGCCATTTTCACCGTGAAGACAAAATTAACTCCGAAATTTTTTTAAATAAAATAGTACATTACGTTAGCTTTAATTTAAGATATAGATAAAAGTGTCAGACTTTCCGGAACATTTTAAAAATTTAAGTGAAAAAAGTTAATTTTTTGTGAAAAAGTTGTCATTTTAAATCCCCCCCGTGGGCAGGTAAAGGGTCAGATTTATAAAAAAAATATATCAAATGAAAAGTAACGATATCATACATCTTTATAAAAAAGTTATGGCAATTTTTGAGGGTAATGTCTTCGACTAGATACGATTTGTGATCTTTTGACGTATTACTGAAAGAAATGGGTTCAGTGAGAGCTGAGAAAAAGTGGTAACAGACACAAAAAAAAACACACCATAGTAAAAATAATACCTTCTCAGCTTTGCATCGAAGCTAATAAAATAATGATATGAACATAAGCTGATTTAATTTTTCAACTTTTAAGCTATTAAGAAAAAATAATTTATTCCTAAATACTAAAAACTAAATACTAAAATAAACAATTAAGTTATAAAAAATTTTAAAATAAATATAAATTATAAACAATGTAAAATTTTATTTTATTTTATTTAAAATTAAAAACAATTCCTGCCTTTTTTTAGTCATATTTTAATTACTATTATTTAGAGCACGCAAATAACAAATTAACAAAAACAAATAAATTACCTATTGTAACTACTAAATTATAAAAAAAGAAACAAATTATAGATAAGATTTATCAAAAAAATTTTATAGAGTATACTCTATCGAATTTTGTAATCAACTAGATTCTAATCAATGCAGATACTTGGTAGTTTGTTATCATTTGTTAGACCAGAGTTAAAAAAAATTTACCTACAACCACGTTTGGAGTAATTGCTATTCCATTTATTATTACGTCTAGAACGTTATCTTTTTCAAATAACGTTTTCTATGAATATAAAAATGAAAATACAGCCATAATAATAACTGTATTACTCAATAGTAATCACAAATGAATAATAATTTCAATGTATATAAGGCCTAGCACGTTTTTGATAATTCGTAAAAATAATTGAATTTTAAATTTGGGGGGGCCGGCTCTGGGCCACATTAAATTTAAGGGGGGCCAGGCCCACCCTTGTCTACGTGCCTGCTTATACTCCTCCCCTAATTTGGAGTTATGATATAATTATTTTTCTGAAAATAGTGCTTTAACAGTACTATTTTAACTAAAAATTGAATCTTCAAAAATTCGTAGTCCTAGGCACAGTTTGTACAGTTCATAATGGTTAATATAATCCTGCACAGAGTTCAATTTTATGCTATCACTTTACTATGAATTGTATATGAAATTATTTTGGTGTTTAAAAAGTTATTTCTACTGTTAATTTTAATTAATTTAAAAGTTAGTTAAGTTAATTTTATTTTAAAGTAGAAGTTTAAAGTAAATTTTTCAAAAACTAATATTAAAGAAAATATTTGTTAAAATTTGATGTCCAATTTAAATGTATCGTCGAACGTTTTTGTTTTTTATATATACATTTACATAAATATTTATTTTTTAATTTTTTCTAACGAGCAATGATCGGAATCTGAGGCAGTTAGTGGTAGTCGGAGAGTATAACCAATATACGTCCAACAAAAACTATAGTTGTGGAATGTCCTTGACCCTCCCTTGAAGAAATCATGATACTTACATTGTGGAAGTTAATAATAATAATCGTGCACGCATGTAATAATATTATATACATAGGTAAATCTTGTAATCACTAACCGAATGCGAGGTGTTATCCGGTTCACGCCTACTACATAACATCACGCTCGATGTCACGACTGTTAGAAAAGATTTAAAGATCTTTGGAATTTAAGGGAACTGATCTGCACCATTCACTCAAATCCCCCTATTCTACTTACTCTATCATTTATGATCTATTGTGGTTTTTGTTTCCATGTTTTAAATGGTAACACAATATCACCTTAGGGATTGAATAAATATATTGACTTTTCCTCACTATTTTGATGTAGATAATCGAACGTGCGCATTAGAAGATGCAAGTCTAAAACCATATTGAAGCCAAATTTAGAAAAATAATAATTAATAACATATAAATATCATAGTTTATTCATTTATTTGTAGAACATTAAGTTTCAAAATTAAACTAATTCTTATAAATTAATTGTTTTATTTGTCTCGATACATTTCGACCAGTCAGACCATGTGGTACTACTGTTCATGTAAAGCTGTTAATATATATTAATCTTACGTATACCATGTACCTTATGAAATTATATTTAGTTTGTTGATAGTGTCTTTATTTAATACACTTATAAATTATTAATATTTATTTTTTTATCAAAAATTAAATACTATATAATTTTGATGACTGAAAGTTAAAAAAAAAAACATAAGTCCTTGAATTTTACTGTGAATTGGATGTTCGCGCTAAATTTTAAATGAAATTCATCGCAGTTTCTTTTTTGTCATAGTAAAACCATCGTAGAATTTTTGCATGAAACGTGCAAAAAAGCTGCATGTTTTTGAATCTCAATTTCAGTATCAGACAATAAACTTAGCTCACTATAGTATATCGTTTTTTACTACAAATTCAAACATAACTTTTCCTGATACAGATAAAAAGATATATTTTTCAGTTCGAATATGCTTCCTTTAGCAGCTTAGGTTACTTAAAACCAAATCAAATTAAAAAAC